GTGGGCCCGGCTGCGTACTTGCACTTGGCGGTGAGGCGCAGCAAAAAACAGAAAAACAAAGCAACACAAGAAACAAAACAGAACCCAAATCAAAGGCAAAGACGCACCGTCTCAGTGTTCATGACATCCCACAAACCATCACAGCCGGCGATGAGGTACTCGCAATCATCGGTGATGTCAAACTCGGCAATGTCTGGCTTTCCAATGACCCACTGCTTTAGCTTGCGGTCGCCAATGGCCCTAAGCGCAAGACAAGACAGTTGTTTTTGCAGATGAGTCGTGCATTTGATCAACAACCAAAGCGGGTATACCATGATGGGCACGAGCAGCGGTGGGCCCGTTGACGCACCTCGATACAGAGAGGACGCCGTTGACGCGCCACGCGCCATACCTACAACCCCATCACCAGAAGTTGAGGAGAATGAGCCTCGATGAGAGAGGATGTCTACGACCGGAACAGATTGTAGGCCGCAGGCCGGGTAGACATGGCAATACGGACCAGACGACGACACCCTCATTGTCCGCAATCCGCTGTTTCTCATCCTCACGCTACAATTCAAGGCGGGCAGAGGGCAGGAGGGCAGGGAGACAGTGCATGTCAGGTGTCAGGTGTCAGGTGTCTGGTGTCAGGCAAGGAGGCATCAAGGGCCAAGCTGGACAAAGAGTGCTTGAAACAAACCTCGGGCTTGTGTGGGTTCATGAGGGTAACCATCTCGCCGTTACGGCACATGGCTACCTGGGAATCACCGAGCCAGGCAACATAGAGCTTGCGACCGCGGACCAAGACCGTCACCGCAGTGGCGCCGCAGGTCAAAGCCTGGCACACGAAGATGCAAAGCCACATGCATCAGTGGCGAGGGCTATGGGAACAGGGGCATGGAAATACGGTGCTGGCAGGGCTGAGTGGGTATGTTCAACGTACGTCGCGCTCCGACTTTTTGAGAAACATCTTGTCACAGGCCAGAAAGCCGTCATGGAGGGCCTTGACGGGGTCATCCTTGAAGGTCGGTTGCTCGGCAATCACCTTGTGCAACTGGGCCTGTGCAAACTTGGCTGCTTCCACACCACCATGTCCGTCCATCACGGCAAACCAGCTCTGGGGAGGCATGTCCTACAAAATCCACCAAGAACGATCGTCAGCCGGTGACAAAAATGGCCACGTTGACTGCAGGCCAACTTGCCTTGATGCCAAGCAGCGCGTTAAGGTCTTCAATGGCCAAGTGACGGTCCTCCATCGTGTGTCGTCGACCTAATTGCGAGAGTCGCACCACAAAATGAGTCATGGCTGGTCATGGCTGGTCAAGGGGCGGAAGGGGGGTAGCCCTTTCGCTACGGCGGAGAAGTGGTAGGTTGGACTGACCGCGCGAGGTAAAGATGTCAATGTTGTAGCGACGACCCGGAGCGTCAGCCGCCGAAACTTGGTTGTCATTGGAGCTCCAGGCCTCTTCGGCCGCAGCCTTGACAACGTTGGTGACTTTGCGAGTATCAAACAGCTGGACACCTAAGATATGAGTACAGCCCCGAGCCCGAGATGGGGCAGACTTGGCGTAAGGCGACCTTCACCAACCAAAGCAGGAACGTGCCGAGGCACTCGGCGTATGGTAGGGCCTGTGTGACGATCAAAGTGCGGCGGGTATACTTGAACTTACCGCCCATGGTGCCGCCCTTCATGCTCTCCACGCTCTCGCCCATGACCTTTTCGCACACCTGACGCGCGAGCTCGGCCGCGCGGCTGGGGTCAATGACTCGCTGTTCAGGGTTTTCAGCCTCCTCGGTCAGTTTCCTGACGCCCAGGAACACGGGGAGACGACACAGAACAAAGGTGTTAGCGTCATGTCTCGGACCGGCCAAGGTTCAAGTCCCGATAAATCACGCTTTGAACGCAGAAAACATGACGCTCCGCCCCGGTTGCTGTCAAGTGGCAAGTCCAGTCGCAACGCACTTGGATGAGAGGTACTCGAAGGCTTCGAGGGAGAGCTGGCCAACGAGTTCATCTTCACCAATGGGATCTTCTGGCCACGACATGGCTGACTGTGATCTGTGGCCAAACATAGTCCAGTTATAGAAGCGATGAGGTGGTGTGCCAACGTCTGGCATGCCTCGTCACATGTCAACAAGAGGTAACGCGCCAAACAAGGCAACCAAGGCAGATCAGCAAGCCTGCACACCTCAAAGGAAGGAGACGTCAAAGCAACGTGGGATATCTCCTAATGATCGGGGATAAAATAGTGAGTTGCGAGTGGGGACCGAAACCGCATTTCAAGGTGCCAGCTCACACAAGAAAAAACCAAAAAAGAACTAAAAACGCTTTGATGTTGCATTTATACTGTGCATGCAGGTGTCTGTGCGCCAAGTTGCGTGCTGTCTCATCAACCAGATCAGAGGACAGGATCAAGCCACGGGGAGGAAAAGAAGACGCGCGCCAGTTGGCATGTCCTTTATCAATCACCGAAAACGGGCGACAGGCGACAGAGAGGCTGTGTGCCATTGAACAACATCGGTATCGCACAACATGCACAACATGCACACTACCAAGCCCCGTCCAGTAGTCAGGTGTACTACTGGTCATGATGGCAAGGTCCCCGTTACCATCACACCCCAAAAACCAGTTGATGCCTCCAAGAGCCAAGACTGCAGAAACAGCTCCCTGCTACATGCTCTTGTTTGGCTCACAGTCTGCCCTTCCCGGAACTCGAGGTACCCAGCATGCTTGCCTCCATCCACAACCAACAATCCAATAGAGAGAGGAGCGGGAGAGAGGGAGAGAGGGAGAGAGGGAGAGAGGGAGAGAGGGAGAGAGGGAGAAGCGGGAGAGGCGCGAGCCGAGCGCGAGAGCCAGAGATCAGCCTGCCGTTTGATTACACTTGATGTGTTTTTTTTCTTTTTTTTTGGCTTTTACCTTTCCTTTAGGAAAAACTGACGCGGTGGGCTGCTGACCAAAAGCGGTAAGCGGTTATGGAATGTGATGGGTGTGGGCCGTTGCCAGCTGTGCGCCCTTGTGGAGCGTACATCGGGTGTGGGGTCTGGGGGAGACTCGGGAACTAGGAGACTAATTGTCACTGCGTTCGTGTACATGACTTCTTTTTTCTCTCTCTCTCTCTCCTCTCTCTCTCTCTCTCTCTCTCTCTCTCTCTCTCTCTCTCTCTCTCTCTCTCTCTCTCTCTCTCTCTCTCTCTCTCTCTCTCTTCTCTCTCTTCTCTCTCTCTCTTCTCGGGGGACGATGCGCCGGCGGGGAAGACGGCTGGGCTGAAGTCGGCGCGCGAGGCCAAGGTGGCTACTGTTTCAAGTCTTAGACTGGAATATCATGGTACGATTTATGTGTGTGTTTTGGAGGCGTATCACACAAGTGGCTCGAATGCGGCATCGTCCTGATTGCGTGGTTGCATTGCCGGTTGCAGGGTCAAAACAGCTCCCAACATGCCGAGGTGCGGTTCTCGAGGCGCGATGCGTTCCGGAGCCGTCAAGTCACCGATACTGGTGATTTTCTTGAGCTGGCCTTGGTTCTGTTCTTATGGGTGTTTGCTCTGATGCCTCTTGTAGCGGGCCCAAGAGGCGGCCAAGTTCATCACCGTCTCCGCACACACGACAGATGAACAGGGGTGCGCGCCGGGCCTGTTCTCCAGCGCGCCCCGACCCATATTCGCGCGCTCCCACCCACAACTGATCATCACGTTGCCGTCATCTTGTGGGCTGTATCATGATAATGTGTAGGGAGAGCAACCCCTCAGCCCTGGATGGCTTGCCGCGATTCCACCCTATTTTAACCCCGCAGCAAGTTAGCAACTTTGCGCAGGCCAGTGATCAGGTCGACCTTATCAATCATCGACCCCTAACGGAGATTGCCGTGCGCATGCGGGTGAGGTCTTGCGAGCAGACTTGCAAGGGATCGCGCAAAATTATACTTCCCAGGCCACTGGCCTCGTGCGCTGCCTCTTACCAAACGCTTGATTTGGGGACACGCACATCTGTGGCTCACCAAGGCCGGGCTTCAATGCATTGGCAGAATCATCTCGACGTGTGCTGCCGAACTGTGGGCCAGACTCAACACGAGCTGCGTCAACGCATGCAACTTCTGAATGCGGAGAGCACCGGTAAGGTATCCACGTCCCGATTTGGATACGCCACTGTCTGAGCAGGGGCCCACTGACAGCACCGGTGCGGGTGGCGCTGCCTCTTTTAGCCACGCATCGGGGTGCAGCGCAACTGAGTGTGCGGCGACAAAAATGTGCACATGTTCTGCGCGACGGTATGGTGTCAAGTGCCCACCTGGAATGCTTCTCATGATGTCTCTTTCTGAAAGGCAGCTCGCTCCGTGGCCACTCACGCCGGTCTGGTTTGGTCTGGTCGGGTCTGGCGTGCGTAGTGCGTGAGGTGGAGGCAGCTACGCAAGCTGCAGACACGCGCCTGCGTAAAATCGCGGTGGACCTCTCATCTATCGAGCGAATTTTGGTCCAGCTTGCAACGGCCCGCGCATCGTCCGCAACGGCCTCCCCCAATGTGACACGGCGTGATGCGGCAGGAACCTCTGGGACCATCCCAGCTCCTGTACCTTGAGCCCTCATGCATATCTGATTCCAGGCAGAGATGATGGGGGGGCACCCTGTGCATTGTAGATAAGAAAAGACGAAGAACCTCACTGTGTGCCCCCTTAGGCTTTGCCCTACACCCCCAAATTGACTCTACCAAAGACGAGCAAACGTCAGGACGAGAAAAGGACGGCATCTGTCTCTCATAGGTCTGGCAACGAGCATCATCAATTCGTGAAGGAATTGGGGCTTGTTCGCCTCGGCACTGCCCGGTATTTAGTGCACCAGCGATTGGTTGCGAGCATTGTGGTGGGGGTGGGCGTAGGTGCGGTTGGCAAAGACGGAGGAGCCATCCGGATACCAGTTGACATCAACGCTGGCGCCGCAGATGCTGCGCGTGCCGCCGTATTGCTTGATGGCAGGTCGGGACCAGCCACCAAAGGGGGAGAAGTCGCTGAAGGAGGGGTTGCCGTCGTAGTGGGCGTACCAAAGCGGGAAGGCAGCACCGCCATTCCAGTCACCCATGATCGGGGACCACTGAGACTCGGAGGTGTAGACGCCAATGCTAAGGCCAAGGGCCTTGGCCTCGCTGACGAGGCCGCTGAAAAAGTCGCGGTTGGATTGCTGGTTGCTGGACCAGTACTGGGTGCCTTCAATATCGAACCAGATCATGCCAAAGGCACCAGGGGGGGAGCCACCCGACTATTGGCAAGCGGGTACAACAGACCCAGGTGAGTGCAGCGCATCGGCCAAGGTTGGGGACGGACTGGCCTATTGCTTGCGGACCTTGATGCTGTACTGGGCAAGGTAGTTGATCATGGTGGACACCTGGCCCTGGGGATTGCCGGCCGAAGGGTCGGGAAACATGTACACGTCGACGTGTGACATGCCCGAGTCTGTACAGTGGCAGCGGGAGGAGGGATCGGAATCAAACACTCGGTGCGCCGATGCAGCGCTCTTTCAAGCAAAAAAGCATTCCAGCAAGCGGGACGCACCCCAGGCGTTGTAGATGGTGTGTGGGCAGGCAGAGTCAGGTTGGCCTACGGATTCGTAGCAGCGAATCACGCCAAAGGTGTCTAACGAGGAAGCAGCATGAGGAGTTGATGCGTTGATGGTCATCACGGCCCGATCTCAAGGGCAACGTACAGCCATTCTCCTTGAGGCAGGACCAGGCGGATGGGAGGGTGATTTGCGACACATCCACGCCACCAACAGCAGCGGCAGCGGCCACACAGGCAGCCAGAAGAACAAGACGCAGCATGCTCACGGTGATGTCTACACTGGCAAGCAGTCGACCAAGCGCGTCAGTGGCATCGCACCAACACCAACACCAAAGCCAAGAAAGCGTCCCATATCATCACAAACGACACCGTGCGAGTAAAGCGTGCAAAGGCCACTGCCCTGCCAGCACCAGCGTTTTCTTACCACCCCACAAGGCCCGAGAGAAAAACCGAGAGACCCCTGCGCCAGAGTGTCTCACCTGTGTGCTGTCAGGGATCCAAATACGCCCCAAGTGCTGCAAAGATCGCACGACGATCGCGCGACGAGTTCGTATTGAGCGACATCTCGAATTTAGACTAGAAGGAGTCGCTTGGTTAGTGTAGCCAGCCGGATGAGATGTTGTAGAAACGGTTGATTCTAACCTTCATTTGCTAATAAATGTATCAAAAGTTATTGTAGGAGAAGAGATGACTTTATGGTGCTGATGGATCAGCCTCTCCACTCCCCAGTCTCCGAGCAGACTAAGCGAATCTCTGCTTCAATTTCTCAATTTATTAACACATAAACTAATTATGAAAAGATTAACAAAACATCATTTAATCGATTATATACGACATTAAATACCATATGCATATACCTGGTAATTTATAACATTAACTTGTTCTGTGCGCGTATTCACATCTACATAAACTTCATTTTTATATTCTTTAAATACGTCTGCGCCTCTGGTATGTTGTGTATGTTGTAACCGTAGGGGGCTCCTCTCTCTCTCTTGTGGCGCTCCGACGACGTCGTCCCCAGTGTGTGTGCTGGTGGCGGGGGGGACGGCGGTTATCGCTGGCACTCTTTTGTGGGGATTGCATGGCGGGCTGAGGTGGTGGGGGGGGGCTTCGGTTGCCAGAGGTGACTGGCTGACTGGCTGACTGGCTTTGTCTGTTGCATACAGCGTCTTGCTTGTTTAAAGCACATCACAATGGCTGAACACCTCGACGCCCTGAGCCTGGTCATGCAGCAAACACTGGATGCCGTGCGTCCCGCGAGTGTCATGAGCCGGGCCGTCCGGGTAAGCCCCCTGCTTGCGCGCTTTTTTATCTTTTGTTTTTTTATTCAAGATCTGTGGGCTCCAATGGACCTCAAAAAATGACGCGTCTTGGCCTCGTGTTGCGCAGCTGGACGATGCTGGCGAAAACTTTTTGCTATGTGCCCATGGCCACGGGCCGGCTTACTCGATCCCACGCACCGGCCGCGTGCACCTTGTGGGTTTTGGCAAAGCGGTGGCTCACATGGCAGCAGCCCTTCTTGAGACCCCTTTGGCGACCCAAGTGGTCGGGGGTCAGTTCGTCGGTCCCCGCGCCAAAACTTTGATTCATTTTCCACTCGCCTGCCAGGCAGGGTGCTCATGTTGCTGCTGCTATCGTTCTATTGCTCCCCGCCTGTCCTTGAACTCGAATTGGAGCCAGGCTTTTTGATTGTGCCACGCCAGTTAGACCTTCAGACCTTACCAACGCTAGCAGGTCGGCTCACCATCGCGCAGGGTGCCGTCAACAACCAGCCCGACGACGATGCGGTGACTGCCACCAGGTTGATGCCTGTGCCGCTGCATGCACGTATTTTGCGCTGGTCGCGAAGACCCAACAGTGGATCCATGGCCCTGGTTGCAGGGCGGCGGCTCTCACTGGTGCTCCTTTCTTCTTGAATGCATGCGTATGGGTGTGGTAGAGCGCTCGTGGAGTACATCAAGGTCATCCCTCCCACCGAGCATGCCGTGGTGCTCATTAGTGGAGGCGGGTCTGCGCTGCTGTGCGCGCCTCGCGTACCCTTGACTGATTTTCAGCAAACCTCACAGCTCATCCAGCGCGCTGGTGGTGACATCAAGGTACTCTCATCACTGGCTCTCAATGCTGCTTGACACCCGACCCTGGCTCATGGCCCCGCGAGCCGCCCCATTAGGTGTTGAACAATATCCGGCAACTCCTGAGTACGGTCAAGGTACGGCTTCACTCATCCTTGAGGCGTGGCTAAAGGCAACGCTTGTGCGTCCAATTCACTCAACCCATTCATCATCTCTTGCCAGGGTGGCCAACTGTTGCAGTATTTTGCGCAGGAACGTGTCCCGGCTCTGATTATGAGCGATGTGGTGGGAGATCCCATCCACCTAATTGCCTCTGGCCCCACTTGTCCTTCTATCGCCGGTTCGTTGCATGTCTCCGCCCGATTGCCAAGCGGCTCCCACCCAACAAAGCTTTTTAACAACCGCGTTGCCTCCTGGACCTGGACTCGCACTGATGCGCCGCCTGCCCGGCTTGATCGTCGCGCGTCTCACCAGATGCGCAAGCTGCCCGCACTTTTCTCGAGCAAACGGGTCTGTGGCCACAGCTGGCGCCCAGCGTCCGCGAAAGCCTAAAAGAAACAATGGCCGTGGCGCCACGGGCACAGGCCCAACCCATCAACCTTTTGGTAGGCAACAACTGCCTGGCGCGTGATGCTGCCTTGGCTGCCGCGCAAGCGCTGGGGTGGGACAGCAGTAGCGTTGATCAGGACGTGGAAGGCCCTGCGCCGGAGGTCGTCAAAGACATGCTACACCACGTGACGGCCCTACCCGCTCCGCTCAAACGCCCGTACGTCTAGACGACACTGCACCCCGACTGCAAAGTGAAATGTTCTCAATGTGCCAGACCAACCTGGCACGCACATCTCACTGGCACACGTGTACGTGCACGTCTGCGGCCGATTCTTTGTTTGTGCATATACAGGCATTTATATGTCGTTGGCGGAGAAACAACGACTGTTGTGCTGGGCCAGGGCCGCGGCGGCCGTAACCAGGTGGGCGCTACAACTCGTGGATCCCCACGTGCCATTCTGACTCCTCGTTCGCTTGGATAGCGTTTGCTTCTTTCTTTGCTTCTTTCTCAGCGTCCGCCCATGTCCAACAGGAATGTGCGTTGCGGGCGGCGCTGGCTATGGCGCAAATGCCACAGGAAGTGGTGGCCAACTGGTATTTTGCAGCCTTTGGCACAGATGGGCAGGATGGCCCAACGCCCGCGGCCGGGGCCGCGGTTCACGCGGCGACCGTCGCCTTGGCCCAAGCCGCCGGCTTGGCAGCGCAAGCAGCACTGGACACCAGTGACTCCTTTTCGTTTTTTGAACGAGCTGCGATGCTTGCACCAGCCCCCACAGGCAGGCCCGTCTGCCGACACCTCTGTCCTGGTCTGACCGGGACCAATGTCATGGATATTTTGCTGCTTCTTCGGGTCCCGGTTGGTGGCTCTTAATGCGGCTTGTGATCAGCCAAGGAAGAGCGGATGGAAAGGCGTGGCCGTGCTCGTTGCCAAGGGTTAGAGTGTAAATTGAAACCTGATATATGCGAGTAGTATGAGCGACGGGAGCCCAACCATTGACATGAATGGAACCCAAAAACAAAAAATCATGGAAGGCCAAGTAAGACACAAGGTATGATAAGAGGCAAGCAAGTGTGTACATGTGAGCTCAAAGGCGTCAACCTTTCAAGCACGGTAGACAGGCACATTCGCATTGGTATTAGCAAAGAAGAGACGTGTCCGTGAGTATATGTATATATATATCAAAGAGAAACAAAGGAGCGAAGGGAGAGAGAGGGAGGGAGAAAGAGATAATAGCTAAAACAAAAGGCTGCGGTTGTAAAGATGCGAGAGGTCCAGCGCACACCAAACTCCCGCGCCGTGTGACCTAAGTGCCTAAGCTGGTCTAAGAAATAATGCATTTGCCACTGCTCCCCGAGCCACTTGATTCAAAGGCAGGAATCAAGTCCCAGGCCAAGGCCACACCCGCGTCATCGCAGCTCATGAGCATGCTGCCATCCGAGGAAAAGCAGACACATGAGATGCGGTCTTGGTGGCCTTCAAGTTTGGCCAGTTGCTGGCCACTGTGCATGTCCCATAGAATGAGAGCGGCGTCATCGCCAACGCTGGCGATCACAGACCCATCCGGGCTAACAGCGAGTGCCGAGCGAGTTGGAGACATGTGAGCGTGCTGCAGAAAATACAGCGAGTTGGCCAGCTTGACTCAAGCCAAACAAATCAGGGTTGAGCGGTGAAGCGTTGAAGGGAGAGATGGGTACCTGAGGGCAATGTCACGAACTGGGCCTTCATGGCCCCGAAGGCGTGCATGGATCCGGGCTGCTCGGTAGTCGACCACGCAAACGCTCTTGTCATCCGAGCATGACACCAGCAAGTTACCGGCAGAGTTGAAGCGAACCTATTGTCGTCGTGTACAGAGTGCATGGCAGATCAGCTATGGGTGTCGGTGTCGCTACTGGAATGGATGGGCATGTCTAATGGGCAGGTGGTGTTGTTGGGTTGGTGGCTGGCCCACTCATACCTTGTGAACATCACTGGCGTGTTCCTGAACCATGGCCACGGCCTCGCCCGTGAGCAGGTCCCAGATGCGGGTGGTGCAATCGGCCGAGGAAGAAGCCAAAAACACGCCTTGAGCTTCAATATCGAGGGCCGTCACGCGCTGGTCATGGCCCTCTAGGGTAAAAGTGAGGGCTCCCGTCGAAACATCCCACACACGGATGACGCCGTCGGAGCCTGCCGAGACAAGCGTGTGGGCGGTGGGATGGAATTGGCAAGCTGTGACTGAAGTACCATGGCCCGTGAGGGTATGGCGACGCGTGCCCGAAGTGGTGTCCCACACGAAAACGACACCATCGCCTCCGGCCGAGGCCAGGAGCGTTCCGTCGCGATTGAAGGCCAGGGCATTGATGGTTCTATTATGCCCCTCCAAAACGATGGTCGAGGCGGGCAGCAGCGCGCTCGTCTAGAGTTCGGGTGCCAACAAAGCATGGTAAAATGAGCGGCGAAGGAGGAGAGGGAAGGAAACCAAAACAAGGCAGTTGTCTTGGCATGTGTAAACAAGGGCCAGGTGGCTGCGGCACCAGCTGAGGAGCGTGTGGTCTGGGCGATGAAGCAAGAGGGAGCTTTGTAACACACCGAGATTTTGACGAGATGATCAGCGCCGCCAGTGGCCACAAGATCGCTGCTGGGACTAATGCGAGCCCAGAGAAAGGGTTAGGCCACGCCCGATTCATGCGAGCACGTGCATGAACAAGCGGCACGCGGGACCGACGCGCACCTCCAGGCGACGGCGGTGCAGCGGGACTCGTGCCGATCGGCGCAGGCTGTTTCAAGACCCATGGGACCGGATTCAAGCGTGGGCTGTGTCAGGTGACCCAGGCGCTTGCATGAGTGCGGGACCGAAATGTTTAGGCTTGGAAGCAAGATTGGGACGAGAGCAGGCGCGTGGGGGGCATGGCAGGTGGATAGATACGACGAAGCAAGAGGAACGTACGGCCCGCCAGCTGGTGCAAGAGCCATCATTGTGGGCAAAGAAGAAGGCCCGGGCTTCCTGGCCCACGCCCAAGGCACTGCAGGCGACGTTGGAGGGGTGCGGCAGGGGGATGGAGCGAACGGGGACGCCGACGTTGGAGGCCGCGCGGGAACTCGTGCGGCTTTGAGTGCGGCGAGTGGTGCGTTGCACAGTGCTGCGTCCACCGGACGATCGACGGCGGCCCGGAGAGTCGGGGGCCATGGTGTTGTTGGGAGTTGTCAGAGGCGCCATCTTGGCCCGTCTTGGTGACACTCAGCGCGAGCTCAAGTGGCAGACGCGGCGTCGTTTCCGCAAGCCCGGGACACCAAAAAGGGGGGCGGGGCAGCAAAAAGAAAAGAAAAATAAATCAAAGGAACACGCTTCGCATGCACTGGCCCAGCCAGAGCAGTGCCCTCGAAAAGGAAGCCCACACGCAATGTAAACCAGCGATGAAACACGGCGGACGACAGCTCCCCAAGCTGCGCAGCACACCCAGGAGGCCGGGAGCAAAACTGACGCGTCGTGGCCGTGTGCATCAAGGCTCCGTCGGATGTGCACACGCACGCGCTCAACTTCCTATGGGTGGCGTTGGCGCTGAGCAGCATCAAGTCACTTTTGAGATGCAATAACTTTGATTGGAGAAGGTGAAGGACATTAAGGAATACTGCAGCAAGTGTAAAAGTTGGAACATTGACTTTCATACAGAATTCTCCATAACAAACAAGAGTTTGAGAGAGAGAGAGAGAGAGAGAGAGTTTGAGAGAGAGAGAGAGAGACAGAAATGAATTGGTTTGGTCAGTTTGGAAAAGCAACACAACAGAGAGACAGAGCGGAGAGACAGAGAGAGAGAGAGACAGAGAGAGAGAGACAGAGAGAGAGAGAGAGAGAGAGAGAGTGACAGTGACAGTGACAGTGACACACACAGAGACAGAGCGGAGAGGATTCGTGTCGAGGGGCTGGGCGGTCTGGCGGCGGCTGCAGCAGTCGGGTGAGAGGGTTGGCCTGCAGCACGATGGCGTGCAGAAGGGGTTGGTCAAGCAAAATAGGTACCAAGGTCTTGAGCGGACGTAGAGTCGGGTGGGGCCAAAAACCAAACGCAGCTGTCAGTCAAAAGGTGTAATGAGGTTTGGTGCCTCTGGTTTTGCCGAGGGGGTCAGTATGAATGTTGGGGGCCCGAGCGGAAGCACAATGGGTGAAGGCAGACTTGGCGCAGGGTCAAGGGTTGAAGGCGTCTCCCAGTCGTTCAGAGCAGACGCACGTAATGATCAAAGACGCCACCCCGGTTCTGAGGGCGCTACCAGGTCGTTGGTAGTAGGCGATTCTGGTGCCCAAGAGCCACCGGTTGCCCGTGCAGACGACGCCAACTCCTTGGAACCAGGTCAATGCTGGTTTCATGTTGCCAATCACCGCAGCCAGCATCTAGGCCCTAAAGAAGCAAGCATGCACGAATAGGTTTGGGGACGATTCAATTCAACTCTACTCGGGGGTGTGATGGTTGACTGGCGTGACATTGCGTGGAAGGGGGCTGTGATGATTTGGGCTGTTCGCCATGACGCACACTCCCATGTTCGTTTCCCATCTGCGAGCACGCACATCTCCCGCGCAGTGGGTTTTCTTCCTGACTTATCGATCAATTGGGACGAACTGGTTGCACCCAAAGACGGCAAGCGATACGCTAACAACTGACGTTGCAGCCCCAACACTCATACCCGCCACAGGCGGGGGCTGCCTCGCACAACCAAAGGGGAGGGAGCGAGTAATGCACACGTCGGGGATGCACGGGCAAGCAGGGCTTGTCAACAAAGGGAGCGAAAGCCGAAGCTTTTACCTTGCTCGGCGTCCTCGGCAATGCTGATGGCTCCGGTTACGATAAGAAGGACCGTGGCCAGGGAGATGATGACGCCGAGGATGTAGGCGATGATTGAGTTCTTGCCCGTCTTTCGCACGTAGCTGTTCAACGCCAGCTGGCCCAGCACAGAGGCCACGGCGGCCAGGAAGAAGAGGAGGATGCCGTAATCGACAGGCACGCGGTTCAGGACCAGAAACTGCGTAAACGAGCTGATCGACGTGAAGAGCGTCATGTACGAGGTGGTGGCTGAGCTCACCTAATGTACCCGGAAGCCCCAGCCGTGGATATGAGGGCAATGAGGCAGTGGCGGCACGAGCAAGCGAGCATGGGCGCAGGGAGGCAGGCAAGGGAAGCAGGCGGGCAAGCAGGCGGGCGGGGTCGCAGCACGGGTGGTGGCTTCACCAACAGATGGGACTCACCATGGGAAGCATGCCCAGTTGCAGCATAAGGGGGCCTAGAACCATGCCCCCACCAATGCCCAGGAAGCCGGCAACAAAACCCGCGGCAATGGCTGCATTGGTGCATATGGGCGTTTCCACGTCAGTAACGACGGCGTGAGCGGCCATGCCTTGTTCTTTTTTCCCCGGCCAATCACACGACAAGGAGAGAGACCACCGCGGGCAAAAGGCAGGGATGCAGCTGTACCGAAGAGGGGGTATTTGTAAAGGCGGGATCCGGAAAAGTCAATGTCGCCCTCGACAAACTTGTAACCGGCGTCGACTTTGCGGGCATAATCTCGTTTCACCACGACAATGGCAAAGGCGGAGCAGAGCAGGAGGTAGACAAAGGTAGAGGCGATGACACCCCAGTATTCACCCGAGCCACAGTCGACACCGGCCAGCGAGGAGTCTTTGCCGCCCTTGATCAAGTTGAGCACGATGAGTCCGACGAGCTCTGCAAAGGTGACGACAATGTAGAACCAGGGAAAGCGTGCTTCCTCGGCATGAATGTCGCGCAGCTTCTCCTTGCGAATGACCTGGTCCAGGCCAAAGCCGGCCTCGGGGTCGATGCCACTGTCGCCCGAGTCGTCGGCAACGTGCGGCACCTTGTTTTTGTTGTCGCCATTGTCGTCAACAATGAGTTCCATGGTGTGCAGTTCGGTGGCGGCCATTTGCGCATGCGCCTCCTTTTCCTTGGCTCGAAGCTCCTTGCCTTTTTTGAGGGTCTTGAAGGAGGTGTAGGTGAGGACAAGAAAGATGGTGGCCAGGATGAGCCAGTTGGGGGCAACAGAGTTGAGAAGGACACCAATGACGGTTCCAGCCAGGGCCATGGGAAGGAGGAGGAGCACCATCGGGTAGTTGATGAGCTGTCGATGAGCCACCTTGGGATTGGGGTGTTTGCGCTGAACCTGCATGATGAAGCGAACAATGGAGCCGCCCACAATGGCGGTCACAGAGAGGGGGATGGCATAGTATGTCGGAAAGTCGCCCACAACCAGGAGCATGGGTACGATGATACCGCCGCCACCGATGCCTCCTGCGCTCGCCAGCGCCAAAAAGATGAACAGGATCAACACGGCGCCAACATCGCGCCCCACATTGCCATCGCCCAGGTCAACGTGGTCGCATTCTAAAGGCCAGCGATCATGAGGGCGAGCGAGCCAGCTACTGAGGGGTCAAAATCTTGACGCACGTGTACGGGCCATGGTGCACGACCCCCACCGTAGGTTGAGTTGTCACCCTGGAGCTGGCAGAAATACATGTCGCTGTCACAATTTTTCGGGCAATCGTCAGGGACGCAGTCAAACTCGCCATTGAGCTATTTGCGTTGCAGAGCGGCACACGGGTGAGCAGGATGGCTTGAAAGGCTGGGGTCACTCGACACGACGCATCGAGCGGTGCAAAGTCTGGCTGGCGCCACGAACCGCTTTGCACACGTTTTCAGCAGAAGCCAGGGAGGCTAGGAGGGCAAGCCCAAGAGCAAGGAGTAGTGCTGCCCGCCTGCAAGCGGGTCGTGGCTGGCCTCGGGGCCCTGCCATGTTTCGCTTGTGTGGGACATTAAAACCCGAGTGCTGTTGCGTCCGGGGGTTGCCGCCGGTGCGCTGCGCCGGGAATGAGG